ATAATTGATAAATTAAAAATTGACTGTTATTCTTTCAATACAAATTTATAACGAAAAAGTGTATTTAATACACTTTAAATCTGTGTCCTTTAGATAAATCCTAAAATAAAATATAAATATGGTTAATTTAATTAATTCTTACATCTTGTATATATAATTGTATTTTTAAGTTTATTTGCATTTAATATCATATTGAAAAATAATGATCTTTTAATGACTATACTATGTAATGTGTTAAATAAAAATATATACCAAAATTAGTGTCCTTTTTTCTTATATGAAATGGGGCAATTGTAGACACATGCATGCATGGATTTAAAGCCTAGATTTGTGCCTATCACATGGCTGGTTTACTATCCATTCGACCAATAACTAATCATTAATCTTTATCACTATAGATTTTTTAAGGTGTGATGAACTCACCATATCCGTTTCTGCATAATATGAAACGGGTGCATGCCAAATCACAGAATCCGCAAAGTTAAAAGAGGGACACACCACAGAATTTGAGAACTGGGATAGAAAGTGTGACCCATAAATTAAGGGATTTGGGCCCCTTAGTTTAAGGCAATCTCCCTCCATGCAGGGTTGTAAGCATATAACCCTGTTTCAACCACTATATCCATGAACTACAGTTCAAACACAACTAAAAGTAGAAATCTATAAAAACTACTAACTTGATCTTTTCTTGATTAAAAACTTTTCATTATCCCAATCTGTAACGTTCTACAGACTAAGGTTCTACATTGTTCATCCAAACCATGTGTTCAACCTTTTGCAAGGTTACAAATATCCGGCTTTAGAGCAAAATGTGGAGGGAAAAAGTTCTAGACTATATTTTCAAAGTAACAGCTATCTGAATCTTCATTTACCCAAGAAGGTTTTTGGAGAATGGCTGCAGGAAGGCACTACTTATACAAGATATTGTATGCAGGTAAATCTTGTATCACATGAATATCTTTTAAAGACAGTTCTCTCTCAAGTTGGTTCCAGGTTGCCTGTAAAACCTCCTGCAGAAACAGAAATGCCAGTTAGCAATTAGAATTTGTTCATACTACAAAAAGGTCAGTAACTGATAGCATGGCAATGTCATTTAGGTCAAACTCTGCAGACAATAGTATCAAGAAATAAATCTTACAACGTTTGAAAATAAATTTAAGCCAATTTATTTTTCAAAAGAACCTGCAAACTTCAGCTCTGTTTCATTCAGAATGAAACATCTAACAAAAGGAATTCAATGTCTAGCATTGCATGCTATTTTCTGAATTACTTCTGTATATATTTGTTCAGTATATGGAAAAAAGGGAGAAGGTCGAGAAGAATATGATTTCATAACATTGAGCAGAGGTCAAATGTCCATAGAGAATATTAAGCATAATATCATATATAATGTTATGTCTTAGTTCCTGCATTAGCGGTGGCACAGGTGATGAGTCACTATAAATACGACACATCACCTATACCTATGCTGTCTAGAATTTGCTGCTATATAAGCTTATGAAAGGGGCTTCAGCCAGCATCACATATAGAGCATGTTTGGTGCACAGGATTGGAAATTGTGATGTTGACTGAAGTTCCTCACATAAGCTTTTACGCACTCAAATTAGTTCCATGGATAGAATGAAGTTGCTCTATCCCATCAAGGGAATAGCAAAAAACAATTGGACACTGGAAACTTTTGGCTTGTTCTTTTCTTTAGAGAAAGGCATAGATATGACCTTCAGCAAAATAAGAAAGTTTGTCATGAAGCGAATGTGAGATGGTGTCAATAAGGGATTGAGAGTCAGAGCAAGAGGGGCAAATACATTGAAGTCCATATAGGAAGCGTGCATGGCAAGCCACTGGGCATCCATCATTTCAAAAGCTATACAGTACAACACATCGAATGCTTGTTCATCTTCTGCAATTTTGAAGAATTCAAATAATAAGAACAAATGATAAGTGGAAGCCTAAGAGTTGTTTTCAAGATTCAACATTGCTTGGGGATAATGTACTTGAAACGTACTTCTATTACCTTCAAGTAGTTTTAAGAAATTCACTCCAGGGAGACATCTTGGTTTAACTGCAAAAATAACAAGATAGATTACAGAGAGATGTTTAAGACTTGTCAGAAAATTAACAACCCCAAATTTATGAACCAGATGAACTCAGATTGGGTAAGGAGGACTTGAGTTTAGGTAGATATCCTATGGTCAAAACATTATTCTCTATTTTTGTACAAAGTATTATGATGTACAATGTAGTAATGGGGTTTTAAGCTTTAATTTGATAGGAAAAACTATTGGCTGCAATAATAAATAAGTAATGGATACTGTCTACAAACCTGCATATAAATCCAACATCTGAATCAACATAAATGATATATTAATGCCAGCAACAGCGAATGAGTATTCCCAAACTGCTCGCTCCCCATCTTGCTTGAATAATAACCTATGAAATGATGCCTTCATTTTGTATTATTAACCAATTAGTATTAAGTTAAATTTCTTTACAAAATCTCGAAACCAAACATAAGAGTAAAAAAGAACAGAAGACATACCGGATAACTTCTAGCAAAAAACAGCAAGTTCTCCAGAGAAATAAAACCACAACCCCTAAGGATATAAGTTCACTCTTAGAAAAATGCCTTTCATATCTAAAGGTCAAGAACAGAATCATGATCTTACAAATGATTCATGGTATCAAGTCCTCTCAATCTTTGGATAAAATTATCTATTTACTTCTCTGATATTGAAGAATTAAAATAGATACCAGTTGTATTTGGGAGTTCTGGAATACTATTCTATCCCTTATGTGTTCTACAACCTATGCAAAACAACAAATTATTAACAATTGGTTTTGAACAATCAAGGGCACTTTATATCACGTTTTCCCTGTATAATAAAGTTTCAGAGTGGATCAATCTCAATTACAATATTACATACAGGAATTAAATAAAGATTTTTGGAATTACAAGATAAATGCAATTTTATAAACTCCATGTTTTCTAGTGCAGTTTTCACACAATGCTAGAGAAGGAACTTTTAATTGTTATAATCAGAAGAATTCTAAGAAAATAAGCATTAGAATCTATAAAGCAAAACAATTTCACTTTGTCAAAAAAAGTGTGTCCTTCTGGTAATGGGATCTTCTTTTATGAAGGTAAGTGGAGAGCTAGAGCATCAAGAAGGAAAACATGAATGAGAGGAAAAGATGAAAATTTAGAGTTTTAAATGAAAGTGTTGTACCTAAAGTCAGTTGATGGATTAGGACCCTGCCACCCCATTGATTTCCACTGCTTTGAGATCAAGCCTTTCAGAGAAATATTAGGAAAGGCAGCATCCCACAATGCTTTCAGAGCTTCCTGTCAAAGATAATTTGAGTGATCAACGGACCTAACAATTAACATAGCCTAAAAAGTAATTGAAAATTTGAAAAGAATTGTGAACAAGGAAAATGACTATATTTAGAATCATAGTCTTCAAACATAAAGTGAAAACCCAGGTTAGAGGAGACAAAGTTTAAGAGAAATAATACATATCACAAGAATGAAAAGAGTACCTGATGATTAGGGCGAGTGCCATCAAAGGGTACTTGTAGTCTTTCCTGAAGCCTTTGAAGTCTTTCTTCCTAATAAGAAATGCAAGAGCATATCAATTTATCACTTAAGAGACCCAAGAAATGGAGTAATGGAAAAATGAAAATGTGCCACAAGTGATGGAATCGAAATTACAATTTTGATTGAAATTTACACGGTAAAAATTCTGTCCACTCTCAGCACAATATCTTCTAAATGATGCCTTAAGAAGCAACAACAAATGATTTCAGCAGTCTGACTCAACATAAACTTAAAATGCCAACTGAAGTCTGCGGTTTTGGTCTTTCATTACATCCCCTTGACCACCACTCTTGTTAATTAAAATGATTAAAGCTGAGACTCAGGTTTAAAATCAAAACAATCTCTTAACATCATAATTTACCTGGATAGGAGTCAAAGGGTAGTCAAGAAACCTCTCATTACGTCTATTGCTCACACGGTTCAAGAGACCCCCTATCCATGATCGTGATCCAACCATAACATTAGCTACAACCAAAAACGACTGAAAGGTGAGAAAAGAGAATGTGTTCTTAATGGAAGAACTCAGATTAGTCATCTACTATGGCAATTGCAATCTTAATTTTATCACATAAAAGTTAATTACTATTGACTTTTCTCCAAGCTCCACAAATTGAGACCAAGGACCATAGCAAAGAAGTTTAACGTAATAGCTTAAAAATAATGGCAAGAAAAAGTGGACTTAGTGCATAATAGTTATCAAGAACTCTCAAAACAATGAAAGCTTCAAATCCTTGAACTGTTGAACTAAACCACTCATTATTTATGTTTTAAAAAACAAAATATATATTTTAAAAAATCTAGAAGTTAGTTATGCCAACAAAAAGCAATAGAATTGGACAATTTTGACAGTTTCTAGTCTATTAACACATCAGGAGAAGCTTACCCATTCTGTGTTCTGTGCATATTTGACATACACTATAACAAAATATAGTATCCAATATCAAAATCCCTAGGATGAGAAACCTGTCCCTTCTCTTCCTTTTTTCTAACTTTTAAGCTATAAAAAGCTAATGTCACTAATGCTAGTGAAATTTTAGTAAAATCCTAACATATAAAAATTTGTCCTTAAATTAAATCCTAAAACTGGTTAAGGCTTTTCACTTTATTTTGAAATGTCAATTACCTTGATACCTCAGTTTAATGGAATCCAGGAGTTTTTTTTATGAGACTTCGATGCATGAGATTAAGATTTCAAAATTTCAAGGCAGCTAATATTCTAAAGAAAAAAAAATTCCTTCCCTACTGAGGTGTGCGCTTAAGAATTCCTAATGACAATGTCATGATGAGAAGTAGTAGAACAAAACTGGAATTTTCATGACATACAGTAGAAGGTAAATAAGATTGGTATGATCATATCTGTTTTTTAAGGGGAAGTGTAGCCACAACAGAAGTGCTGAAAAAGTTACCAGGAAGATCTACTCACTAAAACATTGAGCCAACTGTGAGATTACGTGAGTGGAACCCTGTGTCCATTCCAACTCTTGATTGCCCTTCTTCTATCTCCAATAAACTTCATCCTCATCAACCTATAATGGATTTTCAACTAGTTTTAGTAGCAACTAGTTTCTTCCATACATGAATGACTAGACAGAAAATGCCAGGCTGCGTAAGTCATTTCATCCGTTTGAAAATAGAACATAAATTTTGACGTAGATTAAGTAGAGAAATAAACATTAACTATGAAATGGCAAACACAGAGGAAAATCATAATTTGTCTTCCATACATGAACTCTATGGTTTTGCTATGTGCACGTAATTTAAGATAAACAAAAGTAAGCAATAACCAACAGACAAATACATGTTCCTAATTGAGTAAGCATGAAAGACAATGCTACAAACTCAAAACAATGGTGCAGAAAATGAAACCATTGTTTGCTCTAGGCAGCAAAACAGAGAACATTAAGTATCATTACGACCAAATCATTCAATAAAAGCATTACATTTACAGGACATCAGTAACAAAAACATGTCAAGTTAATGGGTATTTCTTATCATCTCCCAGCACAACATTGTTGGAAATTGACATACATAGAAAAATTAATAAATAAATAAAAGGGGTTGAGAATTACTCTGCGAAGAGAAGAGCAAGAAGGAAAGCATTGTCGACGCTTCCTTAATCTCATGAGGGGACCAAAATTAAAGATTAGATCCTTACATTCTTTTTAACCGAAAGCAAAAGAGCAATGCAACAAAAAGGACCATAAAGATTGAAGAAATGGATCAGAAATGATTGCGCATTATTCATGCCCTCCTCTCATAATTCAACCCTCCATCATTTCCCACCTCTCTCTCTCTCTTCACAAGAGTCAAGAGATGGAATCATAACATGAACCCAGACATACCCATCAAACCTTTTTCATGAGGCAAATGCTAACAGCGCGATCAAAGGGGACTTTATAATTAACTTTATACTATAAGAAAGTTTTCTGTGTCCCAAAAAGATGAAATTCAGCATAAAGTTTGTAATGCAAAAGGTGATGGCTTTTGCGTATAAACAAAACAAAGTTCCACATCGTGACAAATACACAGACACAAATAAAGAAAGATTGAAATTTTTACTAAATTATAATTAAAAACAAAAGAAGGGCATCTTGTTCACCTGCTATTGCAGCTGTTGGGAAGAAAAGCTGGTGATGGTTCTGTTGATGTATAGATGAAGATGGGACCCGATGGAGCAAAGTGGTTGTGCCAGAAGTGTGTCAGGATGAGGAGGAGGTGGAGGAGGAGCAGGAGGAGAATGGCATTGTGGTTCAAGATTTTGTAATCAAAAACATGATTGGGGTTGCTGAGTTGTGGTTTTTCCTTTGTCTCCTTGTGTTACAAGGCAATTGAAGCCAGTCACCTCCGTGATTAGTTGCCTTAATAATCTTAGCAGTAGGGTGCGTCTCTTTCTCCCCTTCCTTGGCAATTTTAATGGCAATTCTTGTAGTTAGAAAGTGGACCATCCGAAATTGTGAATTGAGGGTGAAAAACCACTTTCAACCCTTTATCTTAATAAGTTTATAAGTTTTAGTCCCTCATCTTAACACTTTTAGCTCTTTACCCTAATAAGTTAATAAGTTTTAACCCCTCACCTTATACTATACATCTCTTGCTCCCCTTCCTTGGCAATTTCAATGGCAATTCTCGTATTTAGAAAGTGGACCATGTGGATCAAGGGCGAAAACCTACTTTTAGCTCTTTACCTTAATAAGTTTGTAAGTTTTAGTTTTTCACTTTATACTATAATACTTTTAGCCCTTTACCCTAATAAGTTATAAGTTTTAATCCCTCACCTTATACTATGACACTGTTAACTCCTCACCTATATGAATCGATGAACATAACCCTCACTTGAAATCAAGTTATAACATTCTATTAGTTTTATTAGTTGATTGTGAGCTTTGTTAATTGACTGTCAACTTTGGTAGCTGATTGTCAACTTTCTTAGCTGATTGTCAACTTTCTTAGTTGATTGTTAGTATTTTTTAGCATTCCATTATAGAATACATGGAATTTAAATTCAATTTTATTTATTAGTTTCATTAACAAAATGCTAATGGAATGCTAATAATTAACTAACAGAATTAATAGAATATTATAATCTGACCTTAAATAATGATTATTTTCTTCAATTTGTATAGGTGAAAAATTAAAAGTGTCATAATATAAGATGAAGAACTAAAACTTACAAACATATTAAGGTAAATGGTTAACGGTGTCATAGTATAAGATGAGGGGTTAAAACCTATAAATTTATTAAGGTAAAAGATTAAAAGTAAGTTTTAGCAGCAGCCTTATGGGGTTTGGTGGTGTCAACTTGTACATTCTTTAAGGACTGCTTTGTACTTTTTACAATATTTAAAGGATTAACTTATCAAAAATTAGTAAAAAAATGCATTGTTTCATTTTTCGAACTCTGAAATCTGGGCCGGGTCTACTTGGCTTGGCGGGTCAATTTTAGGTTTCCAGCGTGTGAGGGAGATCCATACAATTTTTTTTTAGTATTTATGATAATTTATACAATAAAATATAAGTCTCTATTTCTTTTAATTCTTGACTCTTTTTTATTTTTTTAAGATTCACAGGGTGATTCATGGAATGAAATAGGTCAAAGATTTTTTTGAGTTGGGTTTGTCTAGATTCTTGAGCAATCCATGACTAACGAATATGAGTCGACTGCGGGTTAAGCCGGATGAACTTGTAAATTATTTAAGGATGCTTTACAAGTTTTACAAAATTTGAGGGACTAAACTACCGAAAATAAGTACAAATTGCATAGTTTCATCTAAGCTAGCGTGGCCCTTTTTCGAACTCTGGGATCCGGTCTACAAACAAGACATGGAAAAAGATGGACAGGTTCTCAGCTTGTTGGAATTATTGCTATAAACGTGGCATTCAAATATGTAGAAATGATGAAATGAAACTGCCATGAAATGGCAGTAATGAGGCTGAAAATTGACAAAAAAATATGGCAGTAATTTAACTGCAAATATGATGGAAATGGAGCTGTAAAATGATAGCAAAAATGTGGACCAAGCCAAGATGCAAATGTTGATGAAATGAGGTTGCAACGAACAAAAAGTACAAATGCAAATGTAAACGAAATGAAGGACCAAGCATGTTGCAGAGCTGCCAAAGGATGCAAGCATGCAGCAAAAGTGGTTGCTGTTTCCAAATTTAAAGTGTACTTTTATTGTTTTTTAATGTACAATAGTTGCTTAAATTTGAATTTTAAATTGACTTTGTATTCTCCTATAAATAGGAGAGATTGTAATGAGAAAATTGGAGTTGGAGTGATATACTCCTCTCCATTTTATGTGTTCTGCTCTTCATCTTTGTCTCCCGAAATTCTCTCCATTTTCTTTGATAAAAAATTTGAACATGGTATTAGAGCCTTTCATGATCTTTGAGGGCCTGTGTGAGAGAGATTTGAGAGAAATATACTACCATAAACTCCGGCCAAACCCAAATAGTTTCCAGCAAGTTTTTCTTTCAAAATACCCTATTTTGACCCAACACAGCAAACTCTTCTGACCAAAAATGCAACAAAGATGCTGTGATGATAAAGGTTAACTTTAGGTCCTTCAATCTTTGAAAGTGGTTGACAAAAGGATGCAACCAACTTGTTAAGGCAGAAGAGAGTATATGAAGCTGTGAAGTTGAAGGTTAACTTGACGTCCTTCAATCTTCTTGAGGCAGAAGATCTGCAAGAAGCAAGAGCAAAAGATGCTGGTTTAATGATGTTTTATGTTGTTGCTATGGGTCATGTTTTATTCTACAGCATTAGTCTAAAAGGGCAAGGATGGCTTGTGAAGATGCAGATTGGGACCAAGAGAGTACTCAACATTGCATCAAGTCATTTTTCATGATCGAGTAACCAAAATCCTTAGCCCAAGGAAGCTATAGAAGATGAAAAAAGATGATGAAGTCGCACTTTGAGGTACTAATTCCTTATTTTATTTGCTCAGAAAATGTAACTTAGTTGCAAAACCTCCAAAATTTGTTCGAGGCAACAAAATCCAAAGAAGGAAAGCTGTAATGAAGGAGGAGCTGAGGTTGTTTGAGAAGGATGGTACATGGATGTGAAAAAAAAAATGGTGAAAACCAAGCACAAGATGGATAGCAAAGGGTTGATCCCAGGTGCTTAGGTATAAATCTATTTCTGTTTTTGATTTTGCAGCTTTGATGCCAAGGAGGAGTGTTGGAATTATTGCTAGAAACGTGGCATTCAAATCTGCAGAAATGATGAAATGAAACTGCCATGAAATGGCAGCAACGAGGCTGAAAATTGACAGCAAATGAAGCTGCAATTTGATAGCAAATATGGCAGCAATTTAGCTGCAAATATGATGGAAATGGAGCTGTAAAATGACAGCAAAAATGTGCAGCAAGCTAAGATGCAAATGTTGATGAAATGGGGCTGCAATGAACAGAAAATGCAAATGCAAATGTAAATGAAATGAAGGGACCAAGCATGCTGCAGAGCTGTCAAAGGACGCAAGCATGCAGCAAAAGTGGTTGTTATTTTCAAATTTAAAGTGTACTTTCATTGTTTTTTAATGCAGAATAGTTGCTTATATTTGAATTTTGAATTGAGTTTGTATTTTCCTATAAATAGAAGAGATTGTCATGTGAAAATTGGAGTTGGAGTGATATACTCCTCTTCATTTTATGTGTTCTGCTCTTCATCTTGGTCTCTCGAAATTCTCTCCATTTTCTTTGATAAAAAATCTGAACACAGCTAACCATGATACAGCAAAAAATTGAAAGACATACAATTAAGATCATGGAACAGGATAACATTTGTTGTTACACATGCACTTGTAAGCCATGGGGCATGTTTCTGCCTCTTCGAGCGACGCACACACGAAGCTGACCATCACCAGCTTGCATGGGGAGCAGGAGCCGCACGCATGTGAGCAGTCTGGTAAGCTGGACCCTGCAATTTTAAGTGGATCCGCTCCGTTTCTCTTCACTGTACTGGCCCTTCTTTCCTTGTGCATATTAGGGTTCGCAATTGTTTCTTTTGCCCTGGTTGCCTGGCTGTAATCATCTGCTACGTTAAAGTACGTATGTTTAACAAATTAGTACTACGTGCCTCCGTCTATTTTTAATTGTCACACTTTTATGTACATATTATATAATAAAAGAGAAATTTAACAAAAAGTTGAAAAATTAAATTATTTTTCAATTAAATGCCATTTTTGCCTCTTCCTTCTTATGGTGTGTATTGAATCTAGATAATAAAAAGTGAGCATCTGAGAGGGGTAAAATTGGGACAAGGTTTGTGACAGTTAAATTTAGACACCATTTTATAGTATGTGTAATAAGATTATGATATTAGTAACTATCAACTAGACTTTTAAAAATTAAGAGAAAAAATATTTAAAAGTATATTATTTCAATAAAATACTATGACAAATAACCAAAACAGTCTCCTCATTGTTTTAAATCAAAACAGTCTGATTACTATTTTAAAAATAAGGTATTTTAATCTTTTTTAGTAGAAATTTATTAAAACTCATAATTTTTTAGTGCTTTTCCTTCTAATATTTTAGAAGTCTAGTGAGTAAATACTTTTCCCTAATATTATATATATAATAAAAATCAAAATATTTTGACATTAAAAATATCATAAGCTTAATGTGAGGATGTCCAATTCTCATCGATGAGATTTAAGTAAAACCTACATTATATACATCTCACCCCTTTTGTGGTTGTGGTTATAATAGGATGTCTTGACATTCTTAATGTTGAAATGTAAACATAATGTAAATCTTACTTAAGTTTTATTCATCCTATTATGTGATTAATATTGAATATTTTGGTACTTTTAATACTAAATCATCTTAATTTTTAATTTTCTACCTTTATTAACCACCGAACGTCAAAGTATTGTTAAAAAATTAAATAATTAACCGTACTCGCTCTTCATATCCGAACTGTTAGAAAAGAAAATTGATTCTGGCTTGTCAAACTTAAATTTTGTACCTGTTGGCCACGGGTTTAAGTGTCGGCCGGCTGAGATGGAAGCCAAAAGAAAGAAGAAAATGATGTAAACGGCGGCAACGAAAATACTGATAGAACACTTCATGGCTTCAATTTTTCAGGGTCTTCCCTTCCTCAATCTCTAGGTGAACAATAATCTATTTTCGAAGGAAGCTAGGAGGGAGATAGCTAGTGAATTGAAAAGTTTTGATGCAGGAAAATGGTGAAGAAGATCAAAGAATATTTAAGGGGCAGCCAAGATAAAATGGTACATTGAAGCAAATCACAGCCGATAAAAGAGGTTCACATGAAAGAGGCCGGAGAATGCCCCGCAGGTCACAGGACTTTTCAAGCCTTTGGGGGTTCCAAGGGAGGAATTAGAAGGAGCGATAATGGGCGAAGAGTTCTGACTTGCTGGCATCGTATACAAACATGGCATTGAATCCCTTTTGATTTGTTTAAGGTTAAAATATTAATTTGGTCCCTTAACTTTTAACATTGTTTTGAAATTGTTCTTTAACTTCAAAAAATATTAAAATTATCCCTAAATTTTAATTTTTGATACCAAAATAATTTTTCTGTTAATAGAAGTGCCGTGTAAATAGTTATTTTGTTACAAAATTAATTTTTTTTAAACACTAATGATATGTAGAATTAAATAACTATATTTTATCATTATGATATTTTTATTTACATATCAAATTAATAAGTAATCAAAATTAAAAAACCAAATTAATGTTTATAATCAAAGTTTAAGAACTAACTTGATACTTATCTTTAAAGTTTAAGGATTAAGTTAGTACTTATCTTTAAAGTTTAAGGATTAAGTTAGTACTTATCTTTAAAGTTTAAGGATTATTTTGGTATTAAAAATTAAAGTTCAAGGATAATTTTAGTGTTTTTTGAAGTTAAATGAGAATTTTGGTATAAATGTAAAAGTTGAGGGACCAAATTAGCACTTTAACCTTTTTTTAATTTACTATTAGGTTTCTAATTCAATTAAATGAATTTTGGAATTAATATTCTTAAATAATCTTAAAAATGCACCTTTTTGATAATTTCAAATTTATTAATTTTTTAGTACTAAATCAAGACTTGAATCATAAATTTAATTTATAAAATAATATTTATTTATTAGTATATTCAATACTTAGGGCACGACATTGGATGCTAGCCCGCTATATGTATTAGGATTTATGTGAAAGTTTAATTGTGGGTTTTGAAGATTTGTACGAGGCAACATGGGGGATCTAGTAAATTTGGTAAGATTTTGCGATTTACATTAATGTATTCTCCTCTTTATGCGCTTCGTGGGGTTGGTTTGGGCCGTCAGCATAGAGTTTGGACCACCTCAAGTCATTTTTCTGTGAAAAATTGCTTATTCCATTTCCCTAGAATATGGACCACTTCAAGCCAATTTAATTTGTACCATCTCGGTTGTTTTTAGTTGATCCACTTAGGTTAAATTACCAAATGGTTTCTGAATTTGGAATTTTATACTGATTTAGTCCATGAACTTTGTACCAAGAAATCTTTAAGCATTTTGGCTCGTTTAGTTAGATTTTGATTTTGGTTTTTCGTTTTGGTTTTGGTTTTGTTTTTTTTTTTTTTAAATATTTAATAACTAATACCATATTTAAATTAAAAATATAATACTCTGACCTTTTAAATGTATTAATAATTACCAAATGTATTATAAGTTATGTGCTGGATGGTAGTATTGTCAAGAAAATTAAATTTTAATTAAATAAATTGGTTTTTCTCTCTCCTCCTATTGTGTACCACACCATCTCCTCCTCTGGCAACCCTCCATCTCTTCTTTCGCCAACAACCCTTCATTTACTCCCTCTCTTTCTTCGATGAGCTGCCCAAAGGAAGCATGGAACATCGACATCCCTAAATCAAATATCAAAACTTTCTTCTAAAGAGGATTCTTCCAGTACCCAGTAAACATGAACTTTAGGACCTGTTTTGGTTAGAAGGCAAATTTTATCAAAAAAAAATTTTATTGAAAAGTGATTAGGAAAGCATTATATAAAAAATTAATAAATTTTGTAGTAAAATTTTGTTAGAATTTTGTTAAATTGTTAATTTTTCTATTTTTGGTAAAAAAAAATTAATATATGACAAATTAGTAAGAAAGTTATCAAGTGAGTTCTATGTAGAGATTTCAAAAGTGTAGAAAAAAAGGTCTACAAGTTAAAATTGTATCAGAAAAAATAAAGGTTAAAAATGCCACTTTTATTCCCATTTTATTTTAGTATTAATGAGTGAAAATATATAAATAACCTCGCATGAGAAAAGTTTAGAGAACTTTAGAAAAAAGTTTTCCTCCATTTAAACACACCTCCTTACTCTTTTTTTTTTTTTTTTTTGCTTTTATTTATGTATGTTTGAAATTTAGCTAATAGCTACTGTCTTTCTATTTTCAGATATATTGTGTAACTGTTTTAAGTGATTAAAAGGTTGAAACTCTAAGTTGGAAATCCTAAGTTTGAATTTTGAGACTAGTGGAGAAGGATTATGAAAAAAAGGGAAACTATCTTTTATTACACAACTCATTTTTAATATACCAAAACAAAAAGACATTGCGCAATTGACTCCTATGAGTTTTATTTTAATGAATAGTTATTTTGATGGCAAAATAAATAAATAAATCTTCTATTTTTTTAGATAACACATCTTAAATTTTCATTTTAAGTATATATATGTATCTATAACTAGTTCATTGATTGTATAGAATTTTAATATTTACTACATTATATTGAAAAATACTATTTCTCAATCACTCAATCAAATGGCTACTAATAATAGATTGATTTCAAAATTAGCATACATTATTTATATAAATAAAACTAAAGATGCTCACAATATAGATTGGATTAGATTTTAACATTTTTAAAATCGAATCAATTCAATCGGTTAGTAAAATTTTTAAACCAGTCTAACTAATCCATTATTATATTATAATCAAACTAATTCAATTTAAATCCGATTGGTGTAGTTTGATCTAATTGATTGGTTTTTAACACTGTTTTAAATATATTTGATTAAGTAAAATAAATTAGAGTATCAAATACTACTAGAAAATAGTATTTAACTGATAGAAATATAATTGACAAAAATTTTATCGATTATAATAATGTGTCAATTATGCATGCATAATCAATAGAATTGGTTGTTGATTATATCAAAATTTTATAGATATATATATATATATATGTGTGTGTGTGTTAATATCTAACATTCTACTAATAGCATCTATAAATATATTATATATCTTATAAATCATAAATTTGGTAATAAAAATTTAACACTATCAAATATATAAATGCATGGTGTTAGAATTAATAATTTAATCAAAATATATATGTATAATATTAACTCAAAATAATTTCACATTTGTTAGTATTAAATTTTTATTACCAAATTTATAATTTATAAAATATATAATATATTTATAGATGCTATTAATGGAAGGTTAAATATTAACATTTATATTTACAAAATTTTGGTATAATTGACAGCCATTATTGTTGTCGATTATGTATATATAATAAACAAAATTTCTATTGATTATACTTATATAATCAATAATCAATAATAGTTGAAGAAGGTGGCAGTTAAGGCGAGGAGAGTTGTGGTGTCCATGGTTGGGTTTATGTGAAATATTGGTTCTTTAAGGTCGACTTGCGATTGTCGATAGACGATTTGTGTAGCTTCTCAGGCACCGATTAGGACTTGTTGTTGAGCATTTTAATTTCAATAAAAAAAATTTTTTTTACAATTTAAACTACATTCAACTACAAAACTTAACTATCAAATTAAGATGAAACTACCCATCAAATTATTTGTGTTTTACCGTCTGCATTCTTTTTAACAATAATTTGTCCACCTAAAACTTGAAACATAAATTTAATTTATCAAATAATATTTACTAATCATATTTGATACTTTGAACCACATGACATTATATGCTAGTCAGCTATATGTACTAGGATTTATGAGAAAGTTTAATTGTGGGTTTTGAAGATTTGTACGAGGCAACATGAGGGATCTAGTAAATTTGGTAAGTTTTTACGATTGACATTAATGTATTCTTCTCTTTATGCGCTTTGTGGGATTCGTTTGGGCCGTCAGGCATAGACTTTGGACCACTTCAAGTCATTTTTTTGTGGATGAAAAATTGCTTATTCCATTCCCTAGAGTATGGACCACTTCAAGCCAATTTAATTTGTACCATCTCGGTTGTTTGTAGTTGATCCACTTAGGTTAAATTACCAAATGGTTTCTGAATTTGGAATTTTCTACTAATTTAGTCCATGAACTTTGCACCAAGAAATCGTTAAACATTTAGGCTTGTTTAGTTAGATTTGGCTTTTGGTTTTATTTTTTATTTTTTTATTTTTTTAATATTTAGTAACTAATACTATATTTAAATTAAAAATAAAATACTCTGATTTTTTAGATATATTAATAATTACTAAATATATTATAAGTCATATGCTGTGATGTTAGAATTGTCAAGAAAATTAAATGTTAGTTAAACAAATTGGTTTCTCTCTCTCCTCCTAGTGCAAGCCACACCATCTCCTCCTTTGGCAACCCTCCGTCTCTTCCTTCGCCAACAACCCTTCCCTTCATCTACTCACTCTCATTCTTCAATGAGCTGCCTAAAGGAAGCATGGAACATCGAAATCCCTAAATCAAAAATCAAAATTTTCTTCTGAAGAGGATTCTTCCAGTACCTAGTAGACCTAAACTTTAGGGCCTGTTTGGTTGGAGGGTAAACTTTATTAGGAAAGTTTTTATTAAAAAGTTATTGGGAAAGTACTGTATAGAAAGTTAATAAATTTTGTAATGAACTTTTGTTGGAATTTGGTAGTAAGGTTTTGTTAGAATTTTGTTAGGTTGTTAACTTTTCTATGTTTGGAGAGAAATTAGTATACAGAAAGTTAATAAGAAAGTTATCAAATGAGTGCTAAGTAGAAAACTTTGGAGAAAAGTTTTTGCTTTTAAAAGGTGTAGGAACAAAAGTTTACAAGTTGGGAATTGTATTAAGGAAAATAAATGTTAAAAATGTCAATTTTATCCTCATCTTATTGTAATATTAATGTCTGAAAATACATAAATAACGTTATAAAGAACAAAAGTTTAGAGAACTTTAACAGTACATTTGGAGTATCATATAAGACATGGGATAGGACAAAATTTATATCCCGTGTCAATATGTCTCATGTTTGGGGTGGACATCGGATTAGATAACTACTATCCAATGTTGTGTCCTATCCTAAGTTCATAACAAAAAAAATATCCCACCTACCCCATGGGATTACTCAGGAAAAGATGTAATTTTCCTTTTTGTCCCTATCTTCATTGTGGCTTCTTCGATTTTGTATCTTTTATTCAAACATCAAAAATCATTTTAATAGCTAAATTGAAGATGGAATTCGTTGGCGTCAATCACAGATTCACAAGTCATTGTAATAGATTTCTCAAGCGTCAATGGTATTCTACTTCCTATTAAACTCACCTACCCATCTTCTTCTGCTAGATGATCTCATAGCTTTTCTCACTGGCAAAATGCTTTGGACTTCACAAATCTGAGACAAGATGTCACCGAAGAAAAAATGAACTTCACAAATCTTTATGTAAATGGATGATGGGATGAAAGAGGGCAGTGGGGGCAATTGACAACTACTATTGATCTTGGTTCATTTTTTACCCTATAATTCAATGAAGTCTCTCTCTCTCTCTCTCTCTCTCTCTCTTTTTGATTATTTTCTTTGAATTTCTAAACTACACCTACCAATTTCTTATGCAAAATTTAGCATTGATTTCAATTGAAGTTTGGGTATGGGCAACATGAATATCAATTGGTTTTGTTACAATTAATTTAGTATTTTAGCTATTTGGTTTCCAAGAAAACAAAGGAAATTTGATGATATTTAACTTGGAATTTTTTATGTTTTTGTTCAAATAATTAATGAGGATTGTTTTCATCTTTAATAAATTCCTTAACTTAATTGGCACTAAATTAATTGTTTATTATAAAAAGTAAATGAATTATTGTAAAACAAAATAAATAAGAATAAAATAAAAAATAATTATAATACCTTTAATACAAGGGCATTTTATTCTATACAAATAAATATTTATATCTAATCCTACTTTGTATCATGTGTAATCAAACATTTCATTTGATTCAAATATATTTCATCCTTTCTAATCCAATCCAATCCTATCTTTAGAATCATATCTAATCCAATCCAATCCTATCTTTAGAATCATATCTAATCCAATCCAGTCTCTAGTTCCAAACGTGCTGGAATGGGGAAAGTTTTCCCCCCAACCAAACACCTCCTTAGTGTTTTCTTTTCTGCTTTTTTTTTATGTTTGGAGTTTAGCTAATAGCTATTGTCTCTTTGTTTTTAGATATAAAATGTAACTATCTCAAGTAGGTGTCTTAAGTGGTTAAAAATTTAAGACTATAAGTTAGAGATTCTAAGTTTAAACTTTTAGATAAGTGGAGAGGAATTAAAAGAAAAAGAAAACTATTTTCTATTGTATAACCCATTATTTAATGTATCAAAACAAAAAAACATATTGTTTAACTCACTTTAGGAGTTTTATTTTATTGAATAGTTATTTTGATGGCCAACAAAAATAAATCTTCTATTCTCATAGATTACACATGTTAAATTTTCATTTTAATTTAATATATACATAACTTATTCATTGATTGTATAGGATTTTAATACTTATTAAATTATAATGAACAATACCATTTCTCAATCAAATGGTTATTAATATTAGATTGATTTCAAAATTAACATATATGATTTATATTAATAAAACTAAAGATATTCGTAGTGTGGATTGAATTGAATGTTAACATTTTTAAAACCAAATTAATTTAATTGGTTAGTAAAATTTTCAAACTAATCCAATCCATTTTTATATTATAACCAAATCAATTCAACTTAAATCAAATCAGTGTAGTTTGGTTAGAATGATTGGTTTTTAACACTATTTTAATTATGTTTGATTAAGTAAAAAATTAGAGTACACCAAACTAAAGTAGAATAAAATCATAGACAACAAAATGATATTACCAACTACTAGATTAAAGTAAGAATTAAGAAGATAGAAAAAAGAAAAGTGAGAAAGAATTAAGAAGATAGAAAAAAAAAAAGTGAGAAAAAATTAAGAAGATAGAAAAACAAAAGTGAGAATTAATAAGGTAACTAAGGCATGTAAAGGCATGTTGTTGCAACTCAACAAAGTAGAGAGTCTTGAGAGTAGAGTTTTTATTTATATAAAGGAAGATTTAAAGCTACACTATTTTTAAATTAAGTTAATTAAATTGTGTTGAACAATTATAGTATAAAAATAAAATAAAGTAATGATAGCCAATACAATTAATATTATATTATAATCATAAAAAATATTATACTAAATAAATAAGAAAAGTAAGACAAGAAAAAAAAATCTTAATACAATTTGTATATAAAAATTTTAAAAATAAATTATATTTTTATTTTACCAACAAATTCTACAAATACATTTACCAAAAAATATAAAAAAAATTATATTATTTAATTAAGTTATTTTATAATCAAGTGATTCACTCAGTTGAAGGTAAAACCACTCAAATCAAAATATTTATATCAATTTTAAAATTTTATAATCTAAACCAACTCAAATTAATGTTGGTTTAGATTGACTTTTACTTGGATTAGATCAATTTCGATTGGATCAATCAATTTGGATCAAATGTGAACAGTCCTAAATAAAACATTTAAATCCAACATTTAATTTTTAAAATATTAATTTAGAGGTGTGTTTTATTTGTCTGATTTTATCTATTTATAATTTTTTTTCTCTTAAATAGTAGGTTAGGGCATTTGGAAAAGTCAATTTATATGTTGTTTTCAAACTTATATAAGTTATTTCATCAATTATCAACTAACAAGTATACCTATTAGTCAAATCAAATATAGATTAAATATTTAAAAATATCCATGCTAACCCAGTCTTATTTGTTGAAAAAGAATTAACGTTACAATCAAGAAAAGTAATAGAGTAACTTATTAAACTATTCATAAAAATATGCTTCTTCAATTATATAATTAAGGTTTAAACCCTCACTTTCTTTTTTTATCTCTCTTCTCCGTGAGAGTTTCAATTAGCTAATATGTTTTATAAAAAAAAAAATTAAATAAGAGTTTGACTAATGAAGTTAATATATACTAACTTAAAAGTATTAATTTAAAATTAAAATTACGAATTAAAATCATTATAATACCAGCTAGCTAACTTTTGATTTAGGAGAAAAATTAAGCATACAAAAAGTTAATTGATGGAAGCTTAAACTCGAAGTTACTTAACTTGGTCCATCTCAGGCCGAAAAGTCAATAAACAAACCACTCGTATTGAGACTATCACTATGAAATTGAAAATTCAAAACTATTATTAACTACGTGATAGGTAGTGTGTTTATATATACGGAAGGGAAGGTGGGAAGAAACAAAATTTTGTCAATATATGCTGAGTCGGTGACTTATATTTTCCGCTGACCAGATAACGGTACCTTGCCCAGACAATCGAGACCGTTCACTTTTACCCAAATTAATCCCAGTAAATCAGAGCCGTTGATTTGTCCCACATAAATTTAGTTGCCGCCTTCCGATGAATACCAGTCAAAGAAGGTTAATTAAATTTTATACTATAGTATTGAAACGTGAAAATTACTCATTTATTAAAAAAAAAACTGTTTTATATATAAAAAATGTTTTTCTAACCTATAATCTTAGTATATAAAAGTTAAGAGTATTTTTGGTCATAAATATATATAAAAAATATAAAAATTAACATTAATTTTAATATTAATGTCTAATAAATAAATTTAATTAAATAATTAATAAATTAAATATTAATTTTTATTTTTTTAACACAAATTTATGATAAAAAAATTATTTATTATATCCTTAATTATGCCCTAAAGGAATAATTTAGAAAAATCCTATTAAATAATCCATCCCTATTAATGATTACTTCCTTGGTCCAATTTAATTGTCCTAATTTAAATTTTACATAAATTTAACTAAATATTTTTATATAATATGTTGAAAATATTTTTTATTCTTTTTAAGTATTTTTATTTAAAATAAAAAAATCTCAATTGTCATATATTTATTATATAAAATAGAAAAAATACATATTAATTTTGATTCTCTAAAAAATTAGAACTCAAATATTAAATTAATTTAGTTTATTTAATTAAAATTTTATTTAAAATTTAAAATTTTATTTTATTAAAGGTTTATATTTAAATTTAAAAACTGATTATATTAAAATATATAATTGATTAATAAATTTAAATATCAAAAAAATTTAAATTTTAAATTAATATTTTAATTTTTAAATGTAAATTAAAATTTTAAGTTTTTTAAATTCAAATTGATACGCACTCCCTTAAAACTATCTCTTTAAAAATTTATGAATAATATAAACTAAAACAATTAAATAGTATAAAATATACAGGACGCCAACGCCAAGACAGACTGAAAAACAACTCTCTCCTGTATATATACCACTACCAGAACAGATTTCTTCTTCACTAATTATCTCAGGTTGCACTTTTTGCCACCATGGCCGCTCTCCTCCGTGATGCCGCCGTGAACTTAAGTCGGAGAGTTGATGGTTACGAGCAGTTGGATCATCAAAACAGCGAAAAGCAAAAAGAAAGTTTTGGCCAGAGAGCATTGTCAAGGCAAAGAAATGGAAGTAAAAACATGGCTGCGTTGTTCAGCGTTCATCGTAGACGTGAGAGGGCGAAGCAAAGGCAGATTTTCCTGAGAACTTACAAGTTATCGGCGGTTGACAACGTTGGAGGAAGATCGAAGACGGATAAGCTGAAGAAGGTGGCGGTTAAGGTGAGGAGAGTTGTTGTGTCCATGTTTGGGTTTATGCGAAATACTGGTTCTTTACGGTCGACTTGCGATTGTCGATCGGCGATTTGTGTAGCTTCTCCGACGCCGATTAGGAGGTGTTGTTGAGCATTTTAATTTAATAATAATAATTAAAAAAAAAAAAAAAAACGTTTTACATTTCCAATTACATTTAACTACAAAAATTGTTGTGGGTTGAATTTCCTGGCTTGGAACAATGAGAATTGAGAAATGCAATGAAAACCATTTTTCTAACGCACTTTTTTTATTCCAACACTCATTAAATGTTTAATCCACTATTAAATTATTTCTCTATTAGCATTAGTTCACATTTAAAATGATTTTAAATTTAAATAAAGGCCTCAGTTCATAAAGATATACCAAACCAAGAATTTAGGAAATTAAAAAAATTTGATTAAGAGGAAGTTTTTAAAATAATTGATTAAAATATTGATAAATAAATACCTTTTTATTTATATAGTTAAGATTTGAATATCCATTTTTCTTTGTCACCTTCTTTTCTATGAAAATTTCAATAAGTGGTTCCTTTTCTAATAAAAAAAAAAAAAAAAAAAAAAAAAAAAAACCCTTAGTTGAACTTAAACCAAAGTTATTGCTCAGTATAACTTTCGGTTAACTGAAAATAATTCTATGCATTTGCCTCTGCTGCTAAGGAATTAAATTAATAGACAGAAATATGATGATCTAGAGTCCTGTCCTGAGTTGTTGGTCTCACTTAAGGAAATAATATTTTTATAAGACAAAACAAGTAATTCAACATGTGAGAAAAAGGAAAAAAGTTACATAAATTTAAATTCCTATTAACAGATAAAAGAAGTTTTTTACATTTAGATATTTAATAAGTGGATTGGAATCTCTCTCTCATCTCACTTGAAGAAATTAAAAATAAAAAATAACACCAAAATGAATAACAACAAAAGTATTAATGCCATTCATTAAACGGGGTAAGTGAGTCTACGGACCCCAGTGCAAGGAGAGGACCCTCGTAACGTTTCCTTTGTACAGGAATGGTTATGAACGAAATCACTTAATAAAGGAACATAATTAACGGAATTGTTAGTATTTATTTTTTTAATATTTACAATTAAGAAATTCTATGTTAGTTTTCACATGCCTTGAAATTAATTTTTCTCTTGAATAATTTTAAGGGTGCACCCATCATCTTGTTCTAATGCATTTAAAAAAATTAATTTTTTTAATATTAATTTCAAAACTTGAATTCCAAAACCTGATCTACACCAGCCCTCAAGTTATTGTTGCTTTGTTAAATTTTATCTTGGATAACCAAAGTAATAAGGTTGCAGGAAACAAAGCCCAGATGCAATCAAGAATCCAAAGGAAATGGCTGACATGATGATTGGCGATTCCAGTCAATGGTCAGGAAATTCAGTGTTAATGAGGGAAATCCAGGGGAGGATACTGACCTTCAGAGAGATCATCGATCTTCCTCCTTGCAACAGCCCTGCTTCTGTACTGGAGGTATATATTCTTCTATTTATATGACTAGCAGTTAGAAAATCTTGTTCATCAGAAGGTTTAAGTTTTTCCCATCATCTGTTAGTTGGCAATAGACTGCAGAGGATCTCTAAATGCTGTACCCCAGCGTTCTAGTTCAAAAAATGACCTCAATAACGAACGAAGCTTCACTAGACCAGGTTTATTCACCGAGCATAAGTACTGAAGTTACTTATTTAGCAGTGCCTATCTCCATAAAGAGACCAAAATAACATGTTTAAGCAGGTAGTGGGCTACCTCTTTTATGTTTTGAAACTCTTATCAGATATGATCATGGGCCAAGAATCACAAATAAATAAGGGTTTCAGTAGAAAATAGTGGAAGGAGTTTGGAGAATGAACATCTTGAGCTACTTGGTAACCACTCTTCTACTCTTTAGTGAGGTTATGGAGTTTACGTATGATGTTAGTCTTAGGGTAAATTGACATTCATTTATTGAAGTTGAAACATTAATAGCAAAGCTGAATTACACGATCAACGTAGCAAGAGAAATGCCTGATGTGATGGGTGAAAATGAGAAGAACATTTAAAGCGGGATGCAAGGGTCAACTATTGGAGATATTGTGAGTCATATTCAGAAAGCAAAATCACTAGGTGTTCCATTTTGGGAACATGGGTGAATTTGCAAGTGCTGCTTACTCTAAACCTCTCCTTTTGCATCTGAGACTTCAGGCAGTTGGCAAACTGAGGCGTGGTAATGTGGCATGCATCTTGTTGAATATGGGTAATGTCCTGAAGGAAGAAAGTAAAGAAGCTCAAGAATCACATGCTAAAGCAATTTGCGGTAGAGCATATGATTCCAAAGCCACAAACAACTTGCAAAAGAGTCCTACATCTATATCAAATACGATGCCTGAAGCAAGAGGATTAGTAGCAGTACCACCGCCTCTGGTCCCCTACCACCACCACTTCCCAATCCATCTTCAGAAACAGCATCAATTTCCCAGTTAATATAAGGCAAGATAAAAATAAACACAAGTGCAGCAGCAGGGGCAGTAGCACCACCACCTTCAACTATAGCACACATCATCTAGCTACCGTTATCCAATGCACATATAAATATAATAGCAGCACTATCTCCACCACCTGCTCCAACATCTAACGTACCAGTGGGCGGTGCCAATATACCACCACCTCCCATGTCACTGACCAAGGGGGCAGCTCCACCACCTCCTCCTTTTGGAGTAGATAAGGCCCTAAAACCAAAGAAAGCGAGTACAAAATTGAAGAGATCAACCCAAATGAGCAACTTGTATCTGCTTCTCCAAGGAAAAGTGGAAGGCTCTTCTTTCAATGCTAAATCATCCCAGGGGAAAAAAGCTTGGATTGGAGGATCTACGGGAGGGAAAACAGGGAATTGTTGATGCACTATCAGGGATGACAAAAAGTGTCTCCTTTCTACAAACCTTAACTACTGAATAGCAATAGGCTCTTCTGATACCATAGGTTTTGTACCAAGCAACATAGAGCACGGCCTCCTGTTTGCCTCTCAATACTATCTTTTCTGCTTTTCTTAGGTCAGCATATTTCCAAAATTTTGGAGATGTCCAGAAGAATGCAAAAGTAATCAATGAGATTAAAGCTGCCATTAACTCCTTCCAGACAAAAGAAATGGCTAAGCTTTTAAAATTTCACTAGTATGTTGAAGAACATCTAGAGAAACTGACTAATGAGACCCGGGAGACATTGGCAACGTTTTATCTAGTTCACTTCAGTTGCGGTGAACTTTCAATGACAGCATTTACTCCAATAAAAGAGAAAAAATGAGGAAAAAAGTTAGTTCTCTTTAATGCAATGGAATGCATGGTGCTGGCAAGGTTTGAAGGTTTCCCTACAAAGAGGCTGGAATCACTGAGGACAGCAGCAGCCCTATATCTAAAATTAGAAGGCATAGCTACTACCCTGAAGACATGGAAAGTTGAGTCTTCTTTGTGCCAGGCTGCCAACTCCTAGAGAAGTTGTAGTCCTATCTATTTCAACAAGGTAGACCTATAAAAATTATGGAAAGATATGTTACATGTAACCTATACTTTCAGCCAGTTTGGATCATTAACCCAGAAAGTTTCGAATGAAACAGAACAAGACAGAAGAAGAGTCAATGGGGAGAAGTAAAGATGAAGAAACTATGAGTTTTCAGAGTCAAAACATTCATCTTGACTTCAATAATTTGGAGCAAATTAAGGAATCCAGGGTAGATGTTTCCTTCAAGCTGCATGCGATTGGCACTTAAGGTATAAACTAAGGCTTCCAAAGACAAAGAACACAGTGACTCAATATTCTCACATTTTACTTTTCCTCTTCCCCTTTTTCAGTTTTATACGATGCAGCAATATATACCATGACCCTACCCACCAGTTACCTATATCTTCATATTTATACTCCCAATGTCTTTAACCAGAAAGCAATTACTTCCTTTTAGATCTAGACATAGGCTTCATTTCACCCCATTGAACTGAGCTACATTCAGGTCAGACAGAATAATAGAAACAACACATTCAATCAAGAAAGAGAACTCTGTAGGGAAGACTTATTAAACAGATTCAGAACATACTAAGCATTGTTGAAGTATGTTTCCTTGCGAGTGTGAGGAAACTAAAGATCCCACATCAAAAAAAAAAAAAAATAGAAGGAAATAGTGGCTTATATATGTGAAGACCCATGGAACTAATAGACTAGTTTTTTGGTTCTAATGTGATGTCGAAACATGTAATGGACCACTCAATGTTACCCTACTAAGTCGTATGTCTCCTCCCCAACAAGCATCTCAACAATTAAGCTAGAAAAAAGAAAAAAAAGTGGAAGAATACTCTAAGCATATTGGTTTTGTGTCTCTGAGTTTTAATCTAATTCAACCCAACCTGTAATTAGAAAATGAACCAGCTATAAACCTGATTTATTGAAAATGAACTACTTAGTGCAAATGGCTATGAAAATGCTTACCCATATGTGATAGTAATTAGAAATCATAGCAAAAGAGAATAATTGTTTCAGCTTGATTTATACTGCAATAAACTTCATAAAAGATTCTTCTCTTTCTTCAACAATGAAGGATACATTATTGCTGCATGTTAACTCTTCAGCACAGAATTCTAGTGTTCATTTCATATACAAATTTCTAAAATATTTTTGGTTCAATTAGTGAAATAGCATGGATATCAATGAAGTGCTTTTTCTGTTTTATTACACTTTTGATTATTAATTTGTCATATGATGCTGTTTCATTTTAACCAAAATCATTAAAACATGCATCAGTTGTCTTAAACAAAGATAATAACTCACTATTTGGTTTTGGGTCACTTTCATAAATAGCACCAGATGGGACAGAGAACTTCACAAGACAAGTTTTTAATAACAAGCTGATTACTCCTAACAATTACGCAAAAAATGTCTGCTATTTCCTACTTGATGAACAATACATGAAAATGACTTTGCAAGATTTATGCCTTCTATTTTGAAAGGCAATTTGGAAGCTTTATGCTTACGCACAACTTCTAGGCAGTTTTATTTGTTTACTCTTGCAGACAAGTTTCATATGCACCTTACAGCTATTCTTTTGTTAATAAACCACGATGTCTTTATGGCAAGGCAATACAGGGAAACTAAATTTCAATCACAATTACAAGAAGAAGAATGATGTTTAATTCTAAACAGCTAACATATTCCACGTACGGGCAGCGCCCCAAACATTTGCATGCGCATTCCAAGCATGTCAAAACCAAGGAATGCAACATGCGACTCTCAGAAGCATAACAACAAACACCTGGAGTGCCCTTAGCAAAACTTTTCACACTGCCAGCCTATAACACCCAGGAAATGAAATTGACTTCTGACCATTAAACAATAAGAGATGATTAGTTTATATCTAGCTCCTGTAATGATTAAGCATTTTCTTCAGCTCCCCAAGAAAGCAATAAATTAATACAGCATGAGTACGAGTGAAAGTCACCTTTGGGCCTTTTGTGGTCATTATTAGCGTCTGATGTTTCCCCCATGCCCCATGCCTATGCAAAGAGACCCCACCTTTTTCTCTCCTGCAAATTTGCATGTCATGCCAATATCAGTTGTTCACCAACACAAATATACCATATATCAAATAAACCGTCTAGTGGATAAGTTATGGTGGGTTTGATTACCTATTGTTTTGACTGCAGTGTTCTTGTGCTAACAACTACGCAGTCTTTTTGTTTGTTGAGAATGTCGTACTTTCACTTTTGTCCAGATAAAGACCTAATTATGAGAATTGGGGATCACTGTGTCTGCGCCGCCCATGAATTAAGGTTTCAGCCTTACGGCCCTTACCCCTTGCTCTAGAGACCAACTTGGCTTTGCCCCCCAATTTTTTAGTATTGCTTTTTCTTCTCTACCTATTGGAGGTTTTCAAGATTATCGCATGGAATATTTTCTGATTCTGATAACGGTAAACATTAAAGTTTAAAGCTTGCTACTTTAGGGCTCAAAGCTACCTAAAGGTCTGTAATTGCATTCTTTTAAAAAGGATAAAAATGCTACCTAAGGTTCTCCACCATAGACCAAT